GAAGGTATTTCATCTTTTATTAGCAGGTTACTGTATGCTTTTTTTAAGGTTGATTGATCTGAAAAGATTCAATCACAATCACAGCTTGAAAGCAACATGCAAGACCTTTCATTACTTAGTATCCTAATTCTGTATGAAGACATACATAGATAAAGATCTTGTACAAAATACACTTGTAGGATGGTTTTCTTACAATGCACTCCAAATCACACCTGTGAGATAATTACATAGATGCACTCGAAGGTATATGTGAACACCCTTATATAAAAGGGGTGAAATAAAGATTAAATTCATACCATTGGAGAAAGACTATATTCATACTATTCAAAGACAAAACCAGTGTTCAGTGAGTGGTAATACTGCTGCCAAACTGGCTGCTGAAGATGAAAACAACCTATTTCTACTTTAATTCATGATTATCACTATGTCTGGCTTCCCTTAAAATAATGTACGCCACAACATTAACATCTCAGGCACCATTGAGAAAACTCATTACTAAAGGTTCTGTTATCTGTTAGCTGGAAATACAAAGAGAAAAAAGAAAATCAAGTATTACTGTATTTACCTAATGCAAATGAAATTATACTGTTGTACTGCTTATTCATATCCTTCAAGATAGGTCATATAACATTAATTCTAACAAACCATATAAAAAGTCTAATAATAACTATAGCATAATTAACTTTGGCATTACCAATCTTTTTCATATTTCTTATAATGTCACACATTACATATGCTTTACTCGAAAAAAAGAAAAACAATATACAACATTATCATTTCATCTTTTCATAGTGCCAATAACTAATTACAGCAACTATAGATTTAGTCTTGGTATGCAATAGACACATGGATTGGATTATTAGGAATTTCTCACGTAATGCCAAAACAGAAACTTAATTTGTACACATTTTGAAAATCTGTTCTATCCGTGTTTTTTTTTTCTTTTTTTTTATATATATATAGGTTCTACTTGCTGAAAATATGCAGCTTAAAGAATAAAATGCAATGCATGAAAACAGTAATTTTGTTACTGGAATATAGCAAACACAATTCTTAATTCATGATTCTACTCAAAAACGTCCTACAAGAATGAAAAACATGACCCTGAAATATTAACATTAGATATATTTCAAAGTAATGAAAACCAGCAGCCAATCAATGCTCAAATATATATTCATATATTTTCATGACAAATTATTTCAAATTTGCTACTCACTCTGCTGTAAATATTCACTGCGTATCTATTACTCAATTCTGCACCTGCATTGAAGAATGGAAATTTAATCTTGGCTGCTGGATCAGCAACAAAAGAAATGTGGAATCCCATATATAACAGGAAAAAAAAACAGATAGCCTACTACTGATTTCACAGGCGCAAAGAAATTCAAAATATTTAAAGAGAATTACCCCTATCTGATATGTCCTACGAAATGTGGAGCATCATGCGAGTATCATAGTTGAAAAAAGCTTGATCTGCTTATCAACTACACTCAACACCTGTCTATTTCTCTATCATTCAGATTTGATTAAAATGTGAAGCTACATGTCTAGGGATCTGAGGTTTAAAGCTGCATCTAAACTGGATATAATTAAAGGCCAAAGACCACAAATATTTCAGAAATTTTGAGTTCTGTAATGCCCTAAATTCAAAGACATGGTGTATGTTGTCTAATATTTTAGAAGACACAAGAAAATATATAACTGATGCATTAATAAAAAAATCAGTAAAAGCATAGAGCTTTTTGATAATACTCATCACACATTGAAATTACTCACTTCTATAATAAACAACAAAATCATAACAGTTGTTCTGCCACCTTCATGCCAAGATATTAACTGTCTAGCATTCTTTGAAGAGCACAGAACCACAATTTCACACATAATTCCTTTTACGTGCAATGAAGATGAATGCTTTCATGAGATTCCCCAGATTTTCACTCTTACTGATATAACCGTCATTTGCACACATACTGAGATTACACGCAACACACTGATCACAGTTCATGCTAGGGAAACATTCACCAATGAAGACCTCCAAGGCACATCATTTTGACAATAACTGATGCAGTTCATCAATTATCACATGTGAACAAATATCTAAATAAAATATGGAATGATGGTATCTACAAAAAGGTAATGATACAAAAAAAAAAAAGTACATTACTGAGAAAAGCCAAGCTTTCTGGTATTAACAAGGATAATATAAGATGAGAACAATTTTGCAAATAAAATTTTCTGGCTACATCTCACTTTTACTCTTTCTAATCTGCCTTGACAGTCATTTTCTCCATTTCTTTGGTGACATCTTCTGTCACCTTGTCCCCTAATTCCTTCCCATCTTCCTCTCCTTTCTTTTCAACCTCTTCTTTATTACTTTTGTCTTCTGTCTGCTCTTCTTTTTCTACTGCCTCCTGAGCTGCTACTGTTGCTACTGTCACAATACCACGGGCCTCATCAAACTTCTCCTTGAACAATCGGGCATCTGTAATAAATAAAGTATTTAGTTAACAAATGGGGGTTGAGGGAAAGAGGGCAGGGGAGAGAGGGAGGGGGAGAGGGAGGGGGAGGGGAAGGAAGGGAAGGGGAGGGGGAGGAGGGGAGGCCAGGGAGAAAGGTGAGGGGAAAGGAGGAGGGAAGATAGGGGAGGAGGGGAGGAGGGGAAAGGGGAAAGGGAGGGGGAAAGGAAGAGA